GTCACCTGAATAAATGCAATAAAAAAAAAAACATTAAAAAATCTTCATATAAATCTGGGCTGATTTTTTCTTTCATCTGGTCATTGTAGCTGTTTGATAGTTATTTCTTACTGTAATAACTTTTAAAACTGAGCAAAAAAAACATACCATGAGTAGAAAATTAAGTTCTATCAAGATTCAAACACTGGATGGCTAGCAAAGCTAACTGATTGTTAGCTCAGTAAGCCAGTTGTCATGTTCACATAATTTCATCTCTTAAACTAGCAAATTAATTATATTGTTTGGATGTTAAACCTGCAAATGCCAAAGAACAACTCTTAAGTTTTCCTTCACAGTTCTAAAGCTACCTTAATACTAGCAATGTCAAGATGCATGAAATTATCTATAAGTGCACCACCACTTACAGATTATTTTTAGTTACCTTCCATGTTGCAGACTTGATGTTCATAGTTCTCCCCCGGCTAGTTAGGGTACACTTCATTCTGAGAAAAAAGCTTCGTTGTGTATTTTGCTCTTTACCTTTTTTTACAAGGCCTATGGAAAGCATGAAATAAAGTTTAAAAACATAACTAATTATGCAAATTTGTTATAGCAAGAGTAGCACAGTCCCCAGCAACTGGGAGCTGTTCAATTCAACATCCCAGCACAAATGAAGAGAAACACACTTGCTTTGCCCACTCCAACACATCCAGCAACCTAACCCTTCAGTCAGTAGCAGGTTCTCAACAGCAGTGATTCCCTCAGTTGGTAGGAAGAGAATCCATAGTTGGATAACAGTTAATCATTTCACATTCAAGCCAGTAAAGTTGGTCAAATTGCAAAGAAATATAAATATGGTATGAATTTGTCCTGTAAATGTGCTATCAGTGTATAAGCATACACCCAGAGAAGGAACTTCAGCAAACTCTTCCAAACCTTTACTAAATATGTTAGTTCAATTTATAGTAAGTACTCCATTTATTTATAGAGCTTTTTTAAAATATAAAATTTATTTTTAATAGTAAATAAACAATTTTTTATATCTGATTTTCCCTTAAATCTCCCTATAAAAGCAGCAAGAAATTATTTCTATTTTATTACTAGGTGAAAAAAGTAAATAACTTTTCAAAGCAAAGTTAGAATTAAATCAATTCAGGTCTATTTACTCATATTCCAAACCTAATATAACTGAAAAATGAGATTACAAAACACTCAAGTGACTAAGCAAATAGCAACCTGATTTCTTATCTTCATTGATCAGTCTCATTCAGTATTCATTATTCAGGAACTAGACTAGATATTGCAGGCAATACAAAGATGAATAAGGCACACTGCCTGTCCTGAATAAGTTGAACATTTAGCAGATGTAAAGAAGCCAATAGCAATTCAATGCAGACAGAGTCAGTGCCCAAGACTTACAAGAACACTTTAATGAGTACAGAGAGAGCTTAGAAGATAACCTCTAATTATGGAGAAATCAGGAAGTTCTTCTTAGAGAAAGAGACATTAGAATTTCAGTAAGTAGAGGTGAGTTAGAAGGGTATGCTAGGCAGAAGGAAGAGAATGAAAAGTACATAGGTGGGGAAAATAGCACATTTGGGAAACAGTAGTAGATAGTTCACTTTGGCCACAATATAAAGTACATGCAGAAGAGTAATGAGATAAAGTTAGAAGAGAAGGTTAGAGCCATAACTATGGAGGGCTACAATGAAGAGTTCAGCCTTAAATACACAACATGGAGCTTCTAAAAAATTCTGAAGTGAGGAGTACAATCAGGAACTTAAAGAACATCAATCTAGCAGTAACATATAGGATGTGTAAGAATTAGAATACATCATGGTAATGAGGGCCTGACCAGTGGCAGAAGTATAAAGGATGACAAAACATAAATGAAGAAGTAGAACCTATAAACTTAAAAATTTATGAAAATAAGGTAGAGAAATTTACGATCTGTAGATTTTTAAGGATAGTATTCAGAAAGAATGCTGTCGAGTAAAAAAATAATCAAGTTAAATTTAAATGTAGGCCTAGTTAGCTGGAAATGCTGGCTGGGCTCATGGAAGGAGTTATAGTTCAAACTTATAATAATGGAACTTAGGCAAGTTAGGGCAGTCTTGGTGCTGATACAAGTTATTTGGGTTTGCATAAATAAGGGCTGCATTTGTCCTCCTAAGAAATGTCTGACAGAGGATTTTAAAAAGATGGAGCAGAATCACACTGGTCTTGGTTACAGTATAAGGGCGTGTGTTTGGGGGGTGCGGAAGTGGTACTGGTGGGGGTGGCAGCAATGATCCACATGTAAACTGGGATATTTTCAGTACTTCATAATCTAAGCTTGAATTGGACCAATCTTTGAAAATACAAAGCTATTGAATTGGGACATAAACATAAATTTTAATACTAAGGTAATGGAGAAGTATTAGTATTTTCCTAATGGGAAAAACATTTTGAATAAATAATTTTCAGCCTTTGAAAAGCTAAATCATCTTTTTAACATTATTGAAAAAATAACAGGAGTATGTTGTGTATATACACCCATGGCTCCTAGTGTATCATTAAAATGTAATATACTATAGCAGCCTTTCTAAGTGAAAATCTTCATTTCTGTTTCTCAAAAAAAAAAAAAAACCCATTAAAATTCATTAATTGCATTAGAAATGATTTCAAAAAATGTTCATGTGCTTAAAAATTTGGTTAAAAACATATATTTAACTTATATTAAGCAGACTACATCCAACTTAGATGATTTAGAATTCATTAACATCATTACCAAATCAAAACAAGACTTCCTAATGTCTATCCTCTTATAGTCTAGCCTAAAGGAAGCACTGAGCAGCCAATACAAACCCTTAAGCCTAACCACCTGAACTCATATCAAATTCATCAACAACCTACTTAGGTCCTTGCTCAGAATGTATTTACTACTCCTTTATACAGTATGCATTTGCTTTCCAAGTTCACAGTAAACACACACTAAGAAATTTAAAAATAGGAGAGGGCTCCTGCTAACAAGGTGAAAAATGGCAGTAAAATGTAGTGAGAGTTGGTGAACATGAAAAGAACTCTCAAAGTGCTAACAAGTGTGGACTCTAAAGCCAGTCCATCCAAGTTTAACCCATGCTCTGCCACTTACTAACCCAGTAATCTTTGCAAGATACTAATTCTGTGCCTCAGTTTCCTCAAGAAAACAGAAATAACAACAGTTAACTTCACAGAGTTGTTGTGAGGAATACAGGAGTTAAAACACATAAATGCAGAGAACAGTGTCCTGGCACAGTGTACTCTCTCAATGGAGGTTAACTTAATAAATGAGATGAAGGAGAAACCATAAAAAACTATTCAAAAGTACTATAAATTTGAGGTTGTTCAATACAGAAATAAACAAACGTACACTTATATTAGATAGCTGCAAAGAGCAACTACAGAGCATAATGACAAATTTTCATTGTAAATTTTGGTCATGAATGATTCAATGAAAATTTATAAATTATGATCAGGACACTATTTAAGAGGGCACAGGTATGAAAAGACTTTCTATACACACCATAGATTAGTAGGTAGTGATAGAGAGTGCTCTGGGAGTACAGTAGTCCCCCCCTTATCCATGGTTCTGCTTTCTGCAGTTTCAATTACATGGTCAATCTCAGGTTCAAAAATAAAAAACGGAAAATTCCAGGAATAAATGATTTATGTTTTAAATTGCGAGAAAAAGGGGACCCTTTCCCAAAATCTTGGAACATCTGATTATTTTTAACAATACCTTCCTAAGAGTTAGGTCTTTTTTTGTTGCTGCTAATGTGGGGGCATCCATAATGTAATACTTTGTAAAATAACTACGTACTCTCAAGTTATTATAAACATCATAAAAGATCAAATAGGCAATTATTATGTTCTTTAAAATCTGGTGAACCTTCTCTCTCTTTTAACTTGGGACTTTAGAAAGCTTAAATCCAAACATGCACCTCAATTTCAGTAGCAGTCTAAAATCCTGTTGTCTGCCCTGGCTGGTGTGGCTCAGTGGATTGAGTGCCAGACTGCAAACCAAAGGGTCGCTGGTTTAATTCCCAGTCTGGGCACATGCCTAGGTTGCAGGCAAGGTCCCCAGTTCAGTGGAGGTGGGAGAGGCAACAGGTTTCTCCCTCTCTTTGTCCCTCCCTTCCCCTCTCTCTAAAAATAAATAAATAAAATCTTTAAAAAAATAAAAATACATAAACCCTATTGCCTGCTATTTGTATTAGGACTTCTCCTTGTCTTAAAGTTGTATTTAATTTATAACTTCCTTGGTCCTTGTTTTTATTTATTCTTCCATTTTATCTACTCACACACACCCCCACACACATAGCACACATGCATTATGTGGGCTTTAAAATTTATTTTTACATATTTTAGTGAAATTCCTAAAAAATAGAATAATGGATTTAACAGAGTAACACTGTATTAAACATAAAATGATGTTTTGCCTTAAATTACTACAATAACAAAATTTAAAAATTAGCAACAGAATCTGATCATGTAATGCCACCTGCCACATTAAATCAAACAATAGACTTTTCTTCTCACCATTTCTGTGTGTAAGCATTTCTCTCATTTCCTCATGGTCACACGGATGAGTAAAATCAAACACACTGTGTCCAGTTAGTTCAAACTGCAAACATATTTTCAAAAATTAGATCTATATCATAAAATTATAAAAATATAAATAAGGAATCTAAATATACGGGTATTTTACCTGAGTTAATCCCATGTATTTGTTCACATTATCAGAAATGTAAATCATATCACCATCATCTGTGAGAACCATAACAAAACCATCCAGGGCTTTCAAATAAAAGCAATTCATTTGTGCCTTCATTTCATCTTCAATATCCAAATCACCTAAAAAAGCACAAGAAAAAGGGGGAAATTCATTTAAAAGTTATACTTAAATAATATTTAGATGGTTTAATAGTTTCCCCATATACTTTATTTAATATTCACAACCTATATTTTTCCCATCACTCTCTCTCTCTCTTTTTTTTTTAAAGAGGAGAGTGCAAACACAGTTCCCTACTACCACAAATTACGCAGTCGAGTTTCCCACATTTGGGGAAACTGCAGGGGTCAGCACATCCAGAGTGCAATGAATACGCCTCGCCCTAGGAAAACCACCTTTGTGATCAAGGTATCTCCCCTACCAGGTAAGTATACTTTTCCTTTTAACATGTAACAGTGAAGGCCAGAGGACAGGAAAACTAAAATTAGATTTGCCAGCTGCTTCTAATGATTATTTAAAGTAATATAGAAAGGCAAACAACTGAAAAGAGAAAGAGGGGCCATGTTATTAAAAGATAGATAGATAGGTGGGGCAGGAAATAAAGAGATGCAAAAGGTCAGAAGTTTTAAAAGTAGGCAATAAAAAGGCTGTAGTATTAAAGAAGAATTGACCATCCTCTAAATATAATTTCAAATTACTTTTGATTTCTAATTTTTAGGCCTATTATACCCTTGTAAAACAACTCACCAGCATCGAGAAGTTTCCTCACACGCAAATAGCTGATGGTAAGCCTCATAACAGAAGCCTTATCAAGATGCGAACTCACATTATGAGGAAGGGGCAACTGATGAGCAAGCTCATAAAAAACTTCAGACTCTTTACTGCGACGAGATCTGGCTGCATCTCTAGACTTTTCTTTTCGACGTTCAGAACTTATCCTATTTAACAAAAAAGAAGGGGGTGGAGAAAAGAGGCAGAAAATTAATGTTAGTTTGCCTTTGCTTGACCATATTTTACATTCTGCTTACCACAGGAGGATCAGAAGATGCTATGTAATTAAATTATATAGAGATCTGTCTACTACATGAAAGTATTTTTAATGGAGCACTTATACAAATTTTTGGATTCTTGAGACACAAGGAAATCTCATAAAAAGTCCAAGATGAAGCTTTAAACCTTTCTGAAGTAGGTGTTTCCTCCCTGGCACATCAAATTGAAAGGGATGTTTTTGTTTAGCCCAAATCTGAAACACTGCCTGTATATGAAGGGGGCACCTTCATTGCCATTCAAAGAGTCTCAACATAGAGAAATCATAACTAAATGTAGAGAAATGGAAGTTGTGCATAGTAACTTGAAAACAGGTGTTTTTAAAAAATTTGTTGACACTATTACAGATGTCCCCATCCCCTCCCCTTTGCAACCAGCCCCCAACCCTCTTTCCCTCTGACCATCACCACAGTGTTGTCTGTTTATGGGTTATGCATACATGATCTTTGCCAATCCTAAGCAGGCGGAACAATAATAGCTACAAACTGCTTTTTGACTCAAGTTTCTTTTAACTCCAGTACTCTCCTACCTTTCCCTTTAATATATGAACAATACTGACTGTAAGGTATAGGAATTTATATTAGCAGATATAGTAAGCTACTGTTTTCAGGTTGCTTACTCCTTTAACAGCCTCTTATCTATCACTAACACAATAGGTGATAAATAAATGCAGGGTGATGGAAGAAAAAGATGTAGCACAATACTAAGAATTTAAAGGAATGGGTTAACAAAGATTAATAAAAGTGTCAATACAGTGATGTATATCTTTGGGGAAGCATTCCAATAGTCAGTCAAAAAGATTTTCGTCAGTCAGACCAAGCAGAATCGACATTCTTTTTTGCTTAACTGCATAGCAACATCTATTCCTCTTGACCCAAATGAAGGTAAACTAAACTGTACTCTGTCCTTAGCTTCTTTTCTAATAGAGACCCATTAAAACCTACTATGTGCCAAACACTGCCCTGTACTAGGTGCTTAGTTTTCTCTTAAAAACCTACCATATTTTTCGGACTATAAGATGCACTTTCCCCCAGAAATTTGGGAGGAGTAAGGGGGGAGCATCTTATCGTCCAAATGTACCTTACCTGACTCGCTGAGGGTTGGGTGGGGGTGGGGGGTGGAACAGGGTCACAGGTTATTAAATATTTTACCACATTTTTTGCTTCAAGTCCCCCCCCCCCATTTTCCTCCTCTAAAACCTAGCTGCATTTTATGGTCCGGTGCACCTTATAGTCCTAAAAATATGGTATATATAGGTTAAATATTATCCCTATTTTATAGATGAGGAAACTGGGATGCAGTTGGTTAAAAAGAGCCATTATATATAGCACACAGGATTTTGAACCCAGATGTTTTTGTTTTCCTCCAAAGTCTTTGCTCTTCTACAGTGTTTTATCTTCTCATGGAGAATGCTGCTTCTACCACAAATACTCAGCTGCTCTCCTATGACCTCAAATTAATCCTGTTAAATTGATTATTTAAGTGTTGAAAATAGTCATTACCATTCATTGAGCACTTAGCAATATGCTAAACATTTGCTAAGCTTTGACAGCATTATTTCACTTAATCCTCCTTTATGTTCTATGAATGAATGTACATAGTTGTCTTCACCTCAAATCTCTTGTCCCTCCAAATGATCTGCAGAGCCGCAAAGTTCAATCATAGAGGCAACATTCTCAAGAAACAGGCAGGGCTCTCAGCACCTGCTCCAGTTATATTGTGACAAGAGCAATTAATACAGTTTTTACCACTCACTCAATTTCATGTGCTTATCTAACCCTTATACTTTAATAAGGAATATCAACATTTCATGTTAGAACTGGACTTCAATACAAAAATTTCAACTCAAGCATCTAGATTAATTTAACTTGAGTATCTTCAGATTTAAGGTAAGCTACTAAAAGCTATTATTACTTGTAACTACTTATTTATGTGAACCAGGGTTTTCTCAATACTGTACAGTTTATACAAAAACATGAAAATAAATTTGATATTGAGGTTATCATGAAAATACACCGTCAATAATCTGAAACTTCATTTTTCATGTACATTAGAACTGCCTCATTGTTCTTATTGACTTTAAGGAAATGTTTTAAATTTGAATTTACAAATCAAATGTATAATAATGAAAGAATTAAAAATCTATTCTGTACATACTCTAGAGTTCCTGGGGGTGGGGTGTGGGGGAGAGGTCAAGTGTGTCCCCATTGGCCCTAGCATTTGCGATACTGTTTCCCTCACTTCTTTCCCCTCTTGAATTGGCAAGTGAGAGGCAGTGATGGCAACGGGAAACAGATTCCTATCTGGTTGAAGTAAAACCAACAAAAAGAGTGCTGATCAATGATCTCATGATAAACCTGAATATTATTAGTTCAAAATCAGTCTAGATGATCAGAATTTTATCAGCACCTTTCAGACTTACTATCCCTCTCTCTTAATTACTCAACCAAATCTAAGCTACTAACAAATGAAACATTTTATGAGACATTTAAATCCTTTTATTACCTGTATCCAATCAAGCTAACCATGGTGATGAATTATCTCCATACCTTTAAAAATATGTGTATTGTCCACAACTTTGAAGATTATGATTGTCCAAGATGTGGCAACTAAATTTATAAGACAAATCCATTAGAAATATGAGCTTGGATAAAACATTTAAAGGATAATACATTCAAACTAGTAAAGTCTATAAGAATGAGAATTTGAGCATGTGCCAGGATTTTGGAAGAAAAATAAGCCTCAATAAAACATGTAATATAATATTTCAAGAGTTAATAAACTTAAATTAGATAAAGAAGGTGATGAAAATTAGTAGGTCCTCTATTAATAATCAATCTGGACATAAAGCAATTAGGAGACCTGTAATAAAAATGTAACAGAGAAACTGATCTGATGTTCTTCACATACGACTACGGGAGCTCTCAAATCATTTCTGGCTTCAAGATTCCCAAGTTCCTATGAGTTTCAGCATCTGCGCTGCCCAGCTTCTTGTGTACTCACAGGAAGGCTCTTTTTATCAGGTCATACCCCACAGAATTACAGTGTTGACCAAGAATTATTTCTGTTAGACCATGTGATGAATGTAGAGATGAATCCTGTACTATTTGTTTACTTACTACTTAAGATTACACATTAAATGGTTTGTAGACTGGCAGACTTTAAGCATGGAAATATGGTTACTGTATTACTCAAAATTATCAATTATCTAGGTTTTTATTTTATTGAGTATAGATCAAGTGAATTTCTGTTACTTATATATCTGTATAAGGTGCTATTGCACAGACTGAGAGTCATACTGGAAATCAATCAAGAGTACAGTAAAAATTCTACCTTTTGAATAGTTTGCTTACCCAATTCCATGACAATGTTTGAGTAAACTAGCAAAACAGCTCACTCTTAATATTCGTGGTACTGTAGTTATCATACTCTTATATTTTATTATTATTTAACTTACACTACTGGACAAGAAACTAACAATTTTATATTGAAATTATTTTGTATAAGGAATATATTTAAGATAATTTAGAGCCACTATCTTATTGAGCTTCTTGAGTACAGAGTTCATGAATAAGCAATAGCCATTTGATAGAGAATGCCTATTATTCTTCAGATTAACAAGAACACAAAATAATCACAGATATTTGAAGGCATCTGTGTTGCCTACTGATTGCAAAAGAAAAGCCTGTTAGTGTTCCTACTTGTAAATATGACTTTCAGAACTGAAGTTGGATCATAGTCATTCAAGATGTTAAGATGATTAGTTATTTCTAATAAAAACATGAAATTTTAAAACTCTCAACTCTTTTACTTGGTGTTTTTAAAACTCTTTCTAAGCCATGAAGATATGTTATTGCTTTGTACCTCTTGAATCAGCATTTCTATAGGACAGCCACTGTGAAGTGAAATTCCATGATCTAAAGGATGTAGCATTTACCCTGTCTGGTTTGGCTCAGTGGGTTGGGCACGGGCCTGCAAACCAAATGCTGGCCAGTTCTATTCCCTGTTAGGGCACATGCCTGGATTATGGGCCAGGTCTATGGTTTGGGGCATGGAAAGCAACTGATAGATATTCCTCTTGCACATCAACATTTCTCTCCCTTTCTCCTTCCTGTCCCCCACTCTCTAAGAAAATAAATGAAATCATAAAAAAAAAAAAAACAATGATGTGGCATTTAGATGTTCCTTTCCAAAAAGTTCTATACACAATTTTGTCTCTGCCAACCCATGAATATGTGTAAACATTTCTCCATGCACTCTGTAGTAATATAAATTATGGATCCTTTATATCTCTTTAATTTTTGCCAAGCTGATAGGTGAAAATTGTACCTCATTGCTTTAACTGCCCTGCACTTTTAAAGTCTCAGGCCAAAGGGAATTCCAAGGAAATTTTCATGTTTCTTAGTTGGCATTTTGGCCTGCAGCTTTAAATTCAAACATTTATACATGGTGGACTGTATGTACATGGTGATATTCTAAACATTTTTACCAATTAATTTACTTAACTTTTATTATCATAACCATGTTACAGACAAGGAACCTGGTTAAACAGCTTACCCAAGATCAAAGAGTTAATAAATGGTAGAGCCTATACTCAAATTCGAGCAGTCTGGCTCTAAAAACCATGCTATTAACAATAGTCTATGCTGCTTCTCAGAAACTTATTCTAATTACCCAGTTAAGTATTCATAAGTCATTATTATAAAATTCAAAATGTGTTTTCTTCACATCTCCAAAGGCCAAAAAAAAAAAAAAAGTTATAGGGGTTGGCTTTCAATT